GGAGAAAGAGAGAGAATGAATCCCAAGCAGGCCCACACTGTCAGCACTGTCACACAGAGCCCAACACGGGGCTAGAACTCATGAAGCATGAGATCGTGACCTGAGCCAAAATCAGTAGTCAAATGCTTAAAAGACTGAGCCACTCAAGCGCCCCTACAGTCCAGCTTTTTAATGCGCAAAGGCTGACGCAGGTATTCCCTACCCACTCTGTGCTCACAGAACACTCAGGGAAAGAACCTCGATTGGAAAGAGCTACCTCCTGGGCCCCTGCCAAGTATTTCAAGAACAGCACGGTTGCGTATGAGGGCAGCTGGTACCCACCCTACACCGCTGGGAAGGGTAGGCCGCACCTGGCCTGTTCAGAGGAAGTCCTGCCTGAACATATCCCTTCAGGCCCCAAGACATTAGGAAGGAAATGCCTAATGCTCAGCTAGTGGGTGGAGCCTTGCACATTCCCTCTGAACTACGGCCCCCTGCCCTTCCACCCACTACCACATTTCTGCCAGAAACTAAGGGAAAGAAGAGCGTTTTGAGTCTAAGCAGGTCACACTCTGGAAACGGGACCGCTGTCTGCAGCGGAGCCCAGCCAATGCTTTCAAGTCCAAATAGGGGGACGTACTGATCACTTACCACAGCGAAACGCACGTTTCACAGCCGGATGAGAACTATACTGATTCCTCTGGTCTCTAAACAATCACACCGCCACCACATCACAAGATGCCTGCCTTCCATCTTAACACCACAAGGTACCAGGCCCCATCCCCGAGCATGCTCTGGAACCAGCTTATCTTTCAAGCCCTGCTGGTGTGCACCTCAATGTGTTTATAGAACTTCACGGCCAGAAGGACCCAGAGAGACCTGGCCTGACCCATCCAGAGAGATCTGGGATATACTGCCAGACCTCTCAGTCCCCCCCCAAGCCACAGGACATGGCAGCTTCCTCCCCAGCCCCACTCCCTTTTGGTAGCTCAGTTCCTTATTCACAGCCTGTCTGTGTGACTCAAGAGCAGTACTGCTTAAACCAAGGTCAACAAGGACCAGCCAGCTTCTCTCGGTTTCAGTTCTGGAATGACCTCAGGAGCCGCCCCAGAAAAGTGAGGTGGCTGTCATAAAGTGCATAAAGGCTGCTGGTCAAAATAAAGGCCCTGCCGGCAGTCAGCAGCACCCTCTTCCCAAGAGAAAGACAGAGGCACCGAAGTGGTCTCCTCTGAGAAGCTCAACCTGCAGGCTGCCCGTGGCATGGAGCCTTGCAGCAGAGGCCATGCCATGGCGAAGGGTCTGGGCAGGTGGCCGCCCTCAGCCACGGCTCACTCACCGATGACCAGCAGCACAAGGATGACAATGAGAACTACGAAGAAGGTATTGCCGTACATCACCACCAGCTCCACCAGGCGGGACTTGAAAATCTTCTGCCATCTGTGGAGACAAAAAGGCTGAAGAAACAAACACACTTGGGACTCGGGCCCCAGGAACAGAGCCAGTCCCGCACTCTTCTCCAATGGCTGAGGTATCTTGAAAAGACTCGGCCTCAGTGGCCTGCAGTGCTCCAATTTAGAACATCTGTTCAAGAGCAGAAAGGAAAAAAAAAAAAGGGCCTGTGCACGTATAAAAAATTTCTAAAAAAGCACAATCTTAAACGCTAATCATCTCTAGGGAAAGAAACAAAACCTTTGTTTGATTACTAAGGTATAATTAACACACGACATACTACCAGTTTCGGGGCAGGAGAAGCGAAAACCGGACCTTTTGTTGCGTTCCTCTACGTGATATTCAAAACGTTGGCCACACGCACGCTTCTTCAAACAGCTTCTCCACGTGACCCAAGTGCGTTCATCTAGACTCCCACCACCCTAGGTTATTGTGAAGCAGACCCAAGACCCCTCTTCGTTTCCTTCCATAAGTACATAAGGATGTAACTCTGTCACGAAAGCACCTTGGGGAATGGCTAATACAATCACAATGCCATCGCCAGACCTCAAGAAAATTAACAAGAATCCCTCGTTATCAGAGCCAGAGTCCCAAAGTCCAATTGCTGCATTTCTTTTTAAAGCTTGGTTTGTTTGAATCTGAACTGATGAGGTTTTGACTCTGCATTTAGTTAGTATTTTCAATTTCTCCTCACCCTCTTCTGTCTTCCTTCCCAGACCACTTTTTGCAGAAACCAGGTTGGTTATCTTACAAAGCTGCCCAGGTCGCAGCTCCAAAAGGGCCTCTGTCTCTGCATCTCCCCCCTGAACTGTATGAAGTGTGAAGAGACTCAGATCTGGCTTTGGCAAAAACATTTCTTAGACAAGGTTGAATACTCTTTATCCCATCAGCGGTCCGTATCTTTCAATTAAAAAGTTTTTTAAAATACCTGTGAAGAATTAGCGTTACTTGTAATTTTCTAATTAAAATCAGAATGTGTTCACATATTACCTGCAATTAAAAATTAATCTCCAATTAACTCCGAACAGGCCCTCCGTTCTTTAAAAGGAATATGGCTTCACCTCTCACTGGCTGAGTAATGCTCATGAGGCTCCTACACAATGCCAGCGGGACTAGTGAGGAGGACAGGAGTCACCAAATCAACTACAACCTGACCCCACGGTGTGTGTCTTCCAGATGCCACACTGCCATCCCCTGAACCCTTGGGGACCAAGGGAAGGCGGAGGGCAGAGTTCCCAGAAACATAACTAGAGACAGCTCTTCCTCCTTTTGGGGCATTCTGAAGGCCAGAAGGCAGGGTGCCCAGGGAGGGAATTCAGCAAGACGTGACAAAGCAAAACCGTGTAGAAGGCCGGCAATAGTTATCACAGCCCCTGCCACCCCAACCCCACACGGGTTCTACCTGTTTCCATGTGGCCCCGATGCCGGGGTCTTCCCAGCTTTCCGTACACAAGCTGTGGGGCTTGGCGCAGTCACCCTCTTGCTCGCCTGCTTGTTCCACGGGCCTTACCTTTTGGGAGAAATGAAGGGAATGCAGAGCAGCAGCACAGCAAAGACCTCTGCGTAGAGGAAGGTGGCGACTGCAGTCCACTGCAGACTCATCCTGTTGCTAGAAGGTTTCCAGCAGTGAGATGTGAGTTTGTTTCCTGGCAGGACAGAAAAGGGACAGAAGTCGTGAGAGCTGAGCGGCCACTCCTGACCCTCTACCCCAGCATTCCACTCGTTTTCCAAACCACTGGCTGAAACTGGGCACGACTCGGCAGGGACACTTGGCCAACGGCGCCCAAAGGCCTGACAAACTCCCGTTTGCCAGGGCGGAGGTACTTGCTGCCTCCTAGCACGCGCATTAAAAGCCACCCTTCTGGAGAATTCCTTTCCCGGTTGAGTTGGGCAAACTCCTTAGGCCTGCCTACCCGAGAAAGCGTTCTGAATTATGATCATGCAGACGAGACAAAATTCTCGACATCCATCGGGCCCTCTCCCTTCCCAGCCAGCTCCGGGGCGGCCGCATCCCGATAACGCACTTTTCCGCAGAGCCGCGGCGTCCCCGCCCCCCAGGGAAACCGGAAGACCCTTCCCTGCCGAGCCTCTGAGCCTTCCCAAACAGGGCCGAAAGAGAACCTGCAGCCTCCCTCCGGGGCGCGAGCAGGGGCTAAAAATGGCCTTCCGACGCCGCGTCTGCCTCCCACGAGGTGGGAGAACTCGAGGTACCTCAGAGAGCCCCGCAGAGCGACTCCTACCGGGCTGGAGTCAGGGCCAAAAACAAACGCAGATCCCGACTAAGCGCCTCGTGGCCCCGTCCAAAGAAAGTTCTAGAAAAAGCGGTCTTTTCGGAAACCGGAAGAGCCCCTCTCCTCAGCCCTGGTCGGCCCCAGCGCCCACGCGGCTCGAGACCCGCCCTCCTCCGCGCGCCACGCGCGCGATCCCCCGGGACGCGGCCCTAGCCCGCCACGCCCCCCACAGGCCCCACCCCGGCGGCCCCTCCCCAGGGGCTTCGCCACCGCCCCTCACCCCCGCGGAGGCCCTCAAGCCCCCGGAGCCCAACTGCAGCCGCCGCCCCGACTTCCCTCCCCAGCCCCGTCCCCGCACTCCCGGCTCGGCCGTCGTCCCCACGCCCCGCGGCCCCTCCGCACTACCCGCCGCTGCCCCTCGTCTAAGGCCCGGAGGCCCACGCTCACCGAGCTTCCCACGGCCGACGCACACGCCCCGCCGCCGTCACCGAACGCTCCCACCGCAGCCCTGGCCCCGCCCCTTCCCCCGCGGCCGGAAACCGGAAGCACCCGCCGCGTCCCGCCCCGCTCCCGACCGCACCCAGGCCCCGGCGACTCCGCCCACGGCCGGTTTTCGCCCCGCCCCCGAGCCGTGGCTCCGACGCCCAGGACTGGAGGAGAAGGGGCGCCTCGAGGCTGGGCGGTGGCGCCTCGAGAGCGCGCCGGGAGGAGGGGCGGGGCCTTGGCGGGAAAGCCAGGGGCCGCTTCTCTGGCCCGCGCGGTCCTCCCACGTCTCACTGGTCCGGGGAAGGGGCGGGGCCCAGCCGTGGGGCGAGAACGGGGTGGGGCTCGCTGCGCCCGGGCTCCGCCTTCCGCCCCTCCTCCGCCTCCTCCCCTTCCCTCGACTCGCCCCTGGGGAGGGGTAGGGTGGGTGGGGATTCTGGGCGGGTGGCGGAGTCACTGTCGGCTTCAGCCGGGCTGCGGAGCGGACGGACGCGCCTAGTGCCCCGGGGAGGGGAGCCACCAGGAGTGGAGGTAGAGGAGGAGGTGTAGAGGAAGAGACGCCCTCTCTGCCGGGACGTCCCCCCGCCCCCCGAGGCTCTGACCCCAGGGGCTAGGGGCCTGACAAGTTTCTCCACCTTGGCTGCCTGAGGAGGCCGCTACCCTGGAGGGCCCTGAGCCCACCGCACCAGGGGCCCCAGCACCGCCCCGGTGGTCTAACGCGACAGTTTCAGGGACCACTGCAAGGTTTCCAGTGGCCTAGACCAGGAGCCCGGGGTCAGAGCAACAACCCTTCCGGCCACCTGCCTCGACTTCTGCCTCAGGCACCAGTCCCGGCCCCGTGCATCCAGCCCAGGTGACATGCCGGTACTCTCCACGCCCAGGCCCTCTCGGGTGACCACGCTGAAGCGCACAGCTCTGGTCCTGGCCCTCACCGCCTATGGAGCCCACAAAATCTACCCCCTGGTGCGGCAGTACCTAGCTGCAAGCAGGGGCCCTCAGGTACCGGCAGGGGAGTCCACGCAGGATGTCTCTGGGGCCATGGCGGCCAAGGCCAGCGTGAACAGGGTGTTCTTACGGCGGCTCTTGGGGCTCCTGCGGCTGCTCTTCCCCAGGACCCTGTGCCGGGAAACAGGGCTGCTGGCGCTGCATTCGGCCTCCCTGGTGAGCCGGACTTTCCTGTCCGTGTATGTGGCCCGCCTGGACGGCCGGCTGGCCCGCTGCATCGTGCGCAAGGACCCGCGGGCCTTCAGCTGGCAGCTCCTACAGTGGCTCCTCATCGCTCTCCCTGCCACCTTCATCAACAGTGCCATCCGGTACCTCGAGGGCCAGCTGGCCCTGTCTTTCCGCAGCCGTCTAGTGGCCCATGCCTACAGCCTCTACTTCTCCCAGCAGACTTACTACAGAGTCAGCAATATGGACGGGCGCCTTCGCAACCCTGACCAGTCCTTGACGGAGGACGTGGTGGCCTTTGCCGCTTCAGTGGCCCACCTCTACTCCAACCTCACCAAGCCGCTCCTGGACGTCGCCGTGACGGCCTACACTCTGGTTCGAGCGGCCCGCTCCCGTGGGGCCGGCACGGCCTGGCCCTCGGCCATCGCCGGCCTTGTCCTGTTCCTCACAGCCAACGTGCTGCGAGCTTTCTCACCTAAGTTTGGCGAGCTGGTGGCAGAGGAGGCGCGGCGGAAGGGAGAGCTGCGCTACATGCACTCTCGAGTGGTGGCCAACTCAGAGGAGATCGCCTTCTATGGGGGCCACGAGGTGGGGCAGGTTGGGGTGCTGGGCACAGAGGAAAGCTCACAGCTGGGAGGCTAGGGGGCAGGCAGCCATGGACAGCGTGGAAAGCTCGGGTCTGGCTGGGGCTCATGCCAGAGGTGTGGGTAGGTCATAGAAGACGAAGACTGGGGATGACAGGGCCTTGGGCGGCCCAGGCTTAGGCACGGAAATGGAGAAGCAGGAAGGCTGGGCGGGGGCTGCCCACATGCTCCAGGCCACTTCTGCTTCCTCTCCTCGGTGTGGTTGGCCTGGCCTAGGAGCTGTGGATCCTAGCGGTTTCAGATGGTAGAGCTCCCTGCTTGCTCCACTCCTACAGCCAGCCAGGAGGAGGCTCCCGACCCTCCGCCAGCAGGGACTGTGGGACGCGGCCTGCTGCCTGGCCCCTCCTGGCTGCCCCGTTACCCCCCCCCGCCCCGGGCCCTTTGAAGGCCGGCATCTGGCCAAGCTGGTGGGCCAGGCAGGCTGGCATTATGGGCATGACTCAGCCCAAGCGGGGGTTAACGAGCAGCACCCAGCGCGGTGGCAGCGCTGGGCACTCGGGGTCAAAGCTTCCCCCCGCCTCAGCCCCCAGGCCGGCCCCGGCTACCTGCTCGGGTGCCTCCCCAGGCCCCAGGCCAGGGATGCCCGGCCCAGGCCGCCACCGCGGCGGGACGCACTTCCTGCCCGCCCGCGGCCACCCTGCCCCCCGCCCCCCCATGGCCGCCCTTCCGCCTGGGTCCCAGGCCTGCCGGGAGCCCGGCGCTGGGAAAGGTTACTCGGGGCCAATGTTCCCTTTATCTCGCCTTGGCCCCTCCCCTTCCTCGTGCCTGGGGCTGCAGCTGCCTCCGGCCCTGCTCTCTGCTACTCTGGTTTCAGTTCCCGAGGGCTTCTCCAGGGAGGGGCACAATGGTATCCACCTCCTGAAGGCCTGTGTGTCCTTCCTAAATGAGGTGGGCTCTTGTCCCTGGGGCTTGTCTCATTGGCTGCACGGGGGCGGAGGCTGTGATTTAAAAAAAAAAAAAAAAAAAAGGGTTTGTCCCTGAACTCTGCAGTGGAGGCAGCCCGGGTGTAGGCCGGGCTCCAGATTAAGAGAAAATGCCTGGTCTGCAGCCACAACCCATCTCTCCCGCACGCTGGGCCGCAGGGCCTTGGCAGGCAGCCACGGCCTTGGGTAAGGCGCTTGGCACATTACCCGCAGCTACATTGTCGGCCCCGGCTGGCACTCCTGCCAGCTCCCAGCACGAGCCTGGATCGCCAGGGTGCTCCCTTCAGGAACCGGGATTGGGCTAGATGCAAAGCCAAGCGATGTGGCAGACGTGGATGGTGGGGGCAGGAGAGCCCCGGCGTGTGTCCACAGCCTACGTCTTTAGGCTGGACAGCAGTGTGGGGTGACGAGCCCTCACGGGTGGTGGGTTGGTTGCCTTTGCTGTGCGGGTATGTGGCTCACCCCAGTCTCAGCTGCTGATGCCCCTAGGGATGCTGGCCCAGGCTGGGGCACAGGTGACTGGCCGGCTGGAGGGCAGACATCACAGTATTCTGCTCTCTTTGGGATTTCATTGAGGAGGCTGATCTAGATTTCATTCAGGAGGTGGGAGCCTGTGCATGCACACACGCACGCACACGCGTGCACAGACTCTTGCTGGCTTGACAACAAGGTAAACCCCTTAGTAAGTCAAAGCATCATTTATGAGAATCTGGTTCTCTTTTAACGGCTCTGCCAGCGTGGTCCAAATTCCCCACCTTTTGCTCCCTCCAAGCTGCGCGAGCTCACGCACATCACTTTGCCACTTTGGGCTGGGGCGTCCTACGGTACAACGGACGTAAGAATACACGTTCGACAGCACGCGATGATTATCAAGTGGAGAGTCGGGTGTGAAGCACTTGGCAAAGGAAATGGTGCCAGGCTGGGCAGCTGTGGTCAGCCAGGGTGGGAGGGCAGGGCTGCAGCACACACCCCTGTACTGAGCCAAGGAATCTGCAACCTAATGGCCACCTGGCTGTGACCGGTTCCTGACACCCCTGGTTCCCCCTCCCTTTCCTCTCCTGCTCTCTTCTACAGACCCTGCATGGTCCCCTTTCCCCAGCGGTCCCCGTCTTGAGGTAGCCAGTGGTGGCCAGTGCAGGAACGGGGAGGGCAGGGCTGGCTTGGGAGCCCACCGCCCGGGTTTCTGTAGGAGGACACAGCAGAGGGCCCTTGTCCAGAAGAACCTCGGGCAGGTCGGGGAGGCGGGGCACTAGTTCAGGGTGGCACTCGCCAGCAGTTGCCCAAAGATGTCCCAAAGCCGCGCAGGGCAAAGAGAGGGGCACGGTAAGTGTCCCAACTAGACAGGTGGAAAGAATGGGCCTCTGAAGGTGGCGGCGGCAAGTCCCTTCTCTTCCTTGCCACTGTACCCCCGTACTATGACATCAAGTGGTCCCAAAGTTTGAAAACTGTCCCCTATAAACGTGGCCCAGTTGTAACCCCCAGCCCCTGACCTTGTCATGGCCATCAAATGGCAGGGCGTGTATGAGCAGTGCTGGGAGACTTGTTGCCCCCCACGGTGGTCACCGGAAGGCCTCTCTCTCTGTCTCTCTGTCGCCCCTCCCCCACAGGTGGAGCTAGCCCTGTTGCGGCACTCCTACCAGGACCTAGCTTCGCAGATTAACCTCATCCTGCTGGAACGCCTTTGGTACATCATGCTGGAACAGTTCCTCATGAAGTACGTGTGGAGCGCCTCCGGCTTACTCATGGTGGCCGTCCCCATCATCACTGCCACCGGCTACTCCGAGTCAGGTAGGAGCCAGCTCTGGGAGGCGGGGGGGAGGCAGGGACCCTGTCCTGTCCTCCTGGATCACTGAGTGCTAGGCTTGGAAGGACCAAGAGCTCAGCCGACCCACCCACCCCTTCTGCTAGGGCCGTGAGGCCCACCCGGCATCCTCGATGGCAACCAAGGTCCCACGGCTCCTGGCTGCCTTCTGCTCTGCGTGTGTCTCCGCTTCCCGGCATTTCACGCTCCTGGGTAGCACTCAGCTGAGCCCCGGGGACTGTGAGTCAGGGACAACGCATGTCCCTTTCTCAGGCCCGTGCACCCTTGCCCACCTGGCCCTGTCCTCGGCTCACTGCAGCCTGCAAGTGGAGCGGCTTTCTGTGGGCCACCTCAAGCGCTCGGGCCTTGGGTTTCCCGTACCTACAACAACTCTTGTAGGTTGCAGCAGTGGGTGTAGACCTCTGCCCTGTGGTCTGGGGTGGGGGTGGGGGACAGGAAGGCCTCCTTGCTTTTCACCTTAACTACGGGATCATCAGGATTCCCACTTTGTTCCTCTAACTGCCAGTCTTTTCGTGGTTACCGCGCACGGGAGAAGAGTAGCCCCTCCCCGCCCCCAGCCTTTAGAACATTCTAACTCAGGAAGGGACCAGCCGTGCTGATGTTTGAGGTAGCCCTGTGTCAAGTTTGCTTTCCTGTTGTTTTTATGCTCGGCTATTGCTTTATCGGGTCGATGTGGATTTAAATTCATCCCTGTTTACCGATTTCTACGTCTTCTAAAAGTTCTTTCTGCAAGGCTTTCATCATGGGAGCTTTGAGATTATTTTGTTGTTTCTTTCCCCCAAAGTTTGGTTGGGTGTGGGAGTCGAGGCGGACTGTTATTTTCTCTCAGCCCCTTGAGAATCTTCCATTTTCTACATTGGAAAATCTATCAGCTTAACCGCTCCTAGAAGCCTGCATTGTCTCTCCGGTTACTTGGAAACTTCCTTCTTTGCCATCTTCCAGGTTCCCTACGAAGTGTTTACCTGTAGGTTTCTGTTTCTCCATACTTGTATGGCCTTTGTATGTTCACATTTTTTGATCATTCTGGAACATTCTCAGTCGTTATCTTTCCATATGTTGCCTGGTCTCGTTCCTTTACTCTTTCCTTCTGGAACTTCTGCTAGACATGCAGACCTTTGCTCTCCCCCACCTAGCACTGTGCTGAATCTGGAAGATTTCCTCTGACCTCTGTGCTCACTCACCCATCACTTCGCTTTTCAGCTGCGTCTGATTTGAAGTTTTTTTAGTATATGTGTTGCCGAAGTGAGCGCTGATTTGAAGTTTTTTAAAATTTCAATGACTTTCTTTTTTTTAATAATTTTTTAAGTTTATTTATTGATTTTGAGAGAGAAAGAGAGAGAGAGGGAGGGAGAGAAGAGAATCCCAAGCAGGCTTTGCACTGCTTCTCATGAAACACGAGATCATGACCTGAGCTGAATGCTTAACCGACTGAACCACCCAGGCGCCCGTGAGTGACTATTTGTATAAGTTCTATTTGATTCTCTTTCACACAGAAATTTGAAAACAGAAATTTTCCTTTTTTTCTTCTTTCCTTCTTCCTTTCTTTCTTTTAGAGAGAGAGTACACATAGGCAGGCAGAGATGGGCAGAAAGAGACAGAATCTTTTTTTAAATTTTTTTAAATGTTTATATCCATTTTGGAGACAGAGACAGAGCATGAGTGGGGGAGGGGCAGAGAGAGAGGGAGACACAGAATCCGAAGCA